TTCTTGGGGGACGATCTGATCAAACGACCGATCTGACGGGTCTCGGCCGCTTTGGGAGAGCCGCTGGTTTTAGGCCATTCGTTTTTGGTTTTGCGCCATTGGTTCTAGGAGCCCCTAGTAGCGTTCTTGCTCCTAGTAGTAAGGCCAGGAGCCCCTAGTAGCCTCCTAATGGAATGTTTTATTTAAAGACATCTATCCTGACTTGCCAATCCCCCGGAGTGGGGTCCTGCCGAATCGCTCGTGAACGAAAGAAAACCGCACGGAGCTCCAGCGCTCGTTGTTCTCAACGCTCCAGCGCTGGCTCCCGTTGGCGGCTCTGCAGGGCGCGCCCAAGCGCGCCGCGCCCCGTGAGGCAGCGCCAGCAAACGATCGCGAGGAACAACCAATAGCGAATGGACTTAGTCGGCGTGTTTTTGTGGCAAGAGGGCTGTCAAGGAGCCAGCACACCAACTCTGATTCAAGTGGTATTGTTCAACCATCTTCAAGCTCTATCTTGTATGTGGTCTGCTTCTCAAGTCTTTCTCACCCCCATGAATGGCAAGTTGGTCCAACTTTGGAAGCCTTCAACCCCGGCAATCAAGACTTTCTACTAGTAACAAGTGCATCGCTACTGGGAACAAAAACGCTACTAGGGGCTCCTGGCCGTACTACTAGTAACAAGAAGCAAATACTAGCGATGCGCTTGCTACTAGTAGCGATGCTTGTTACCATGGCAAGCACTTATTTCCGTTGGTCTACCCCCCTATCGGCCAGCCAATTCCAATCCGAATCCCTTGTTGGTATCCGTATGATCTTGCCAGCCTCCCAAAAAAACAATCGATATATAGTCTATATTGCAACTAGTAACTAGCCTTCAGCACGGACCCAAAAGACGCCGACACCGATGGGCCGAACTGCATCGCCTCTCTCTCCCGAGCGGCTAGGGATAGGAACACGGCCTCCAAGCTCCAGTTGAAATGGGTGGCTGCCATCAGCAGCAACACCTCTCGGAGCGAAGCAGCACATCGGCACATGCATCTGTCATGGTGATGGCGTGTTCGGATGTGGGCAGTGACTGATGGCGTCGCTTCTGGTCAGAATGGTGGGAAGTCCAAGATGGACCAGAAGTGGAGTGTTTCGTTTCAAAGTTGAGGTGAGAGCGTTATGAGTCCTCTGTGTTTGGGTTCACCCTCCCAAAAGACCCGCCACACACCCAATGGCACATCTCACCACACTGTGTGCTGGTGGGTCACTGTGCGGGTGCTGTCACGTGTTTGCCAGTGCCAAGCTGCAAACTGGACGCAAACCAGACTAAGCCCTGGTTATAGAAAGGTTTGTGAGTGGCCGGTAGTTGAATTTTTGATTCTTTGGGTGTGTGGTCGGTTGAAATCCCACGGGTTGTTTGTGAGCTTTTGTTTCGGAAAATCCCGTCTTGGCAAAGTACCCAAGAAATCCCTTGGGTTGACAACATCTGAGTGGGAGAGCACTGACTTCGCTGAAGTTCATGTCGCCACCCAAGACTTGAAGCATCAAACTCTCGAATCACCATTGACCATCTACCTCACCACAGTCGCAGCAGCTTGCAGGTCCATCTTCGGTCCAGTCGCTAATCATCTCAAGCAGTTTAGTTCAGCACGGACTGCAGCCAGCCTGGAAGGAGGTCGCAACCACTGTGATTTTGATGACAAGCGGGAACCTGAGCAACACGACCCGGGCCCGCTGGTGGTGGATCTGGCAGTCTGGGCCATTGGACTACCTCCCTGCGCAAGGGAACTTCGAGTACACAAAACTGACTTGGACACCCTACATTCCTACATCACCCCACACGTGCCTGTCAGGGACCAAGTGAGAAGTACCGGCTTTCCCATTTCTGGCCGCTTGGTTCGTGGAGAATGATCCCACTGAATACAGGACAAGACTCTCCCGAGCAGCCAGCATCGCACCATCACCTCGGCAACAGGATGAACCACCCACTTGAGGCATCTGTCCGGCGCTTTGGTTGAGAAGGGCCTCGAACCAAGGGATTTGGGGTGTAGTCCAGAAAGACCTGACTGATGTGTGTTAAGCCCTTCGTTTGCAAGATGTTGAGTCCGTTACAACAGCTGACATCCTCACAACACATTCATGAAACATCATGAAACCATAAAACTGTTGTGTTTGGCACATTACCCCGTCTTCTCCCGTCTTCAACCATAAGAATCATCGACTCTGTTCCGAGTTGACCACCAAAGGAATCGCAAAAAAAAACTCCAAGCTCAAGGATATGATAATAACAGAACACATTGGACATCACACAGAACACAAATAACATTGATGCTTGTGGTTATCCGTCCAGATCACCAAAATGACTGCCATTCACCCTGATGTTCGACGTCCATCTCCATTTCAAGTCCAAGCCGCACACTTGTGACAAAATCAAGGACGCAACGGTCACAGGTACCTGAGAACAGGAAACCCGTTTCGTGCCGGACACCCGCCCCAACGGGGGTTTAGCCGGACCAGCGTTTGGCCAGCTGTACCAATGCTCGCCTGTGATCGCGTGCCATCGCTTGCTGCCAGAAGCGAACTAGATCATCAACCAAACTCATCCCTGAAACCCAAACAAAGCAACTCGCCAATCTCCTACCAAACTTTTCTGAGCAGGAGGTTGAGCTCCTCATCAGTTCATCCAAAGCTGTTGCATTGAGCCCTGCTTACAAGGCCTCCGTCAGGAGGTTCGCCACTGATCAAATCAAAAGCTGTGCACAATGGGGCTTGAACTGGGGCGTTGAACAAGGCTAGCTCCTACTTCTCGTGTCCCCTTCAGCCACCCATGGTTCCCCATGGTTCTTAAAGAGTTCCTGGATGCGTCCCAAAGCACCATGGTGGTGCCACGCAAAATGCCTTGCACCTGGCGCCAGGGCTTGGATGGGACGTTTCCAGCGAGGGTTCGGTTGAAAAGCCCAGACCCCAATGGATGTTCCACAAACGGCGTAGGAACATCACCAAGTACCAAGTAAAGACCCTTTCGCCAAGTGGCTCGTTGAAGGCAACGACTTCATGAGATTAAAAACACCCAGCAGGCAGAGCTTATAGGCCTCCAACCTAATAGCGATGGCCTCCAACCTAGTAGTGATGGCCTCTACTGCAAGCCTATTCATCCTTCTGTCCTTCTGTTCTTCCCTCGGAAGCCGCGCAGCCCAGGAGCGCGCGCGGTAGGCGCCTGTGGGTCGGTGGTGAAGAGCTGTGCTGAGGCCTTCAACGCCACGGCGCTCAGTAGACCGACACTGCCCGCGATGCCCAGAGCAACCACCTGAGGTCTTTCTCCACGCAGAGCCCGAGATGCCCAGGTGTGAAATTCGGAAATCCCATCGGTGAATTCATGTGAAACTGAAGACCTGGAGTTGACCCTGAGAAGTGTTGCTGCATGTGGAAAAACATGAAAAGTATCATGGAGAGACCTTTGAAACGATTGAGAGATGTTTTCGTCTGCAACCGGAATGCGCATGGGAACTGCAGAGGAATTCATGTGAACCGCATGTTCCTCACGGACATCGATCACCGGTGCACCCGGTTCCTTAGCAAGGTCCCAAAACGTCCAACGAAGTCTCATGTGACTCCTGTGGTAGGGTGGAGATCCTCAAAATTGTAAAGAAACAAGAAAGAAAAGAAAAAAAAATAAGAAACCTAACAGCGATGGCCTCCAACCTACTAGCGATTGCCTGACTAATGTCGCAGTGACACTCAATTCCAGACGTGCTTCTTCCAATTTTACAGTGTTTCAGTGGTTGAATTTGTGGCTGGTGGGAGCTAAGACTCTCAGGAACTGTAGAAAATCTGGGAATGATCGTTCTTCAAGCCCCTGCCATTTACACGAGGTACATTTTAAAGACAAAGATGGAAATGACCGAGTTTAAATTAAGATTCCTCTGAGAACCACTGGCCCTCCTTGGATGCGTCCGTCCAAGCGGCCGCCAGGTTCTTCATCAGCTCTCTGGCCTAAAAGAGAGGTGAACAGGAGTGGAAAAATGGACCAGGAGCCTCTAGTAGCGTCCTTGCATTCAGACAATATATGTGGGAATATGTGTCCGAAAAGGAGGAGCATGAAATGAAGAGCGTTGCTGGGAAAAGCAAAGAGCTTCGACCAAAAACAGCTCAGACGAGCTTGCGACCTTTCAGAGGTGTTCAGCCTCACAGGATACACACCCAAACTCCGTGCCTCGCGAGAGGGCCGGTCCTCGGAGGTCGGAATTCGAAGCTACGAACGGAGCATTTCGGGCATCGCTACGAGTCCGGAGCGATCGCATCGCTACGTTCGGGGCGAAACTGGCCTTACTACGAACGGAACAAGCTACTAGCAACAAGGGCATTACCATGGACTAAGATTTGGCACAGAAGGACAAGCCACGAAATTGAACACCCCGGACGACCTGCGCGGAGTGGCTCTTGAAGCAAGTGACTAGGAAGGTGGCCGATTTGGCCGAGTTTGGGTCTGATTCGGGTCGACGAGAACTCCCTTGTCGAGTGGGCTTGGCTCCACTAAACCTGTCACCAGATGCGATGCGGATTCGGATTCGCGCAAGATCGGATCAGGGCGCTCACTTAAAACGCTCTTGCCAGGGCACCAAGAGGCCGGGCAGCATGGTTTGCGCCGTCTGTGAAAGCGGCTCTCCGAAGAGGCCAAACAGCACGATGACATTTGCCAAGACCTGACAGGTGACCATGCCGGACTAGACTACTAGTAACAAGAAGCTACTAGGGGCTCCTGGCATCGCTACTAGGAGCAAGGATGCTACTAGGGGCTCCTGGCATCGCTACTAAGCCGCTACTAGGAGCAAGGACGCTACGAGGGGCTCCTGGCATCGCTACTAGTAACAAGAAGCTACTAGGGTTGACTGGTGAGTTGGATTGAGTGGTTTTCTCAAGACTGAACCCAACGAGCTGACGGATGCCGTGCACCAGCGGAGCAGGCCCAAATGCACATGCCCAATGGTCTACAAAGATCCAGGTGGAAGCTGAAGCTTCCACGTGGAAGCTGAAGCTCAATCCTCACATGATTGTTTTGTATTCGGGTTGAATACGTTCGTCAGTATCACAGGAGTTCTCTTCTGGATCCTTCTGGTTCCACCGCACACCTGATAGGCCGCCGTCACGGCTGTGCCCATCATGCCCGCGCACTTGGCCATGAAGGTGAGGCTCATGAACCTGCCGGCGAAGTGAACCACATGTGACTCTCACCTGTTGGCGAACGCAGAAAGCAGTGAAGCTCAAACACACGAACGTTAACGCAAAAGAATGTTGATGAAAAATTCTGCAATCTTGCCTACTGCTCTCGGTGAGGAAATGAAAGCAAGCAGGAAGAACTGCAAGGATTCCAAACCGGCCAAGGCTCTGATTAAGTGATTCAGCCGTCTGCTGTTCTGGTATAGTCTAGGTTTTTCAGGTCTCACTGTTTGCACCAAGTGTTCCCCATCCTGCCCAGCCGCCTGAAGAGGATCACCACTGAAAGGGGCTTCGCATACTCCAAGAGCGGTTGCAGCTCTTCGCGTTTTGGCATCGACAAATGCCCCGGCATCAGGCGATTCCTCCGATTCCGGGAAGTGCTTTGTTGGTCGGATTCTTCGGCTGGACGCGTTTGGTAGAGAGAAGTGTCGGTTTGGTGAATCTTCAGTAAAAACAATCGAAGAATTGTTGGACGTCTCTCCCAAAGGGTGAGACATAAGGTGAGCACCGAGCAAGACACACCACATCGAACACGGCGACACCTGCGCAGGGCGCGCCACATCATCCGGAAGCCCATCAGGGTGGAGATGCTCGTGGCCAGCGCGGCGCCGAAAATTCCCCAGTGGAAGGGCCACCTGGAGGACACGAAGATGCGTGTGACAGCGAGTCATTTGGGATCACAGAAAAAGCAGCAACATCCGGCACGCTCAGCAGTCTAAAGACTCCTCGGTCTTCACACAGCTCTAAGAGAACGGGCCGCTGCCGAGCAACGCGCATAAGAAGAAGTCCCCCAGCAGGTTCAGGAGGGCAGCAAAAAGGACCACCTGACCAAGTTCGTCGGGAAAACATGAGATGGGCAAACAAAGTTCGTTCGTCAGAAGTAGTTGTGCGATTGCCAGTCACCAGACATGTATACTTCAGGGTTATTGAATTGTAGGATTTCATTGGCTTAGTAAGTGAATCCCCATGTCCATCTTGCTCCTGAATCATAGGCTTTTGTGCAGAATGTTTTGTACGCAAATGTAAGTTTGAAAGAAATCATGCACAATGATTCGCCAACTCAAAAGGTTGTCGACCCAACATGTGCGTAACGCTTTGACTCAAATATTGAACAAAAATGCCTCAAAAAGCAAACAGCCAATGGCGGTTCAATACTCGGTGAGGTGGAGTCCCATGTCAGAAAGCTATGTTATAGAAGGCCATCAAAGCATGGCGACCTTGAGAGGCGTGAGGCTATCTTTGGCCGCCAGCAGCCCCGACAAGGCCACGCTTTGCATCAGCGCTGCCCAGGCTACCAAGCCACGAACGCGGACATAGGTCCCTGCCCCAGGCCTGCCAGATTCAGTTTCTATCCCACAGGTTCCGTTTCGCTCTGACTCAGAGCTGGCTACATATCCACCCCAAAAAGTGTGGTCCCAAGTGTCCTCAATCACCGCTGAATCTCTGAGTCAAGTCCTGAACTCTGCGACGGCGTTGACAAACTTTCCAAGTAGCAATGCATGGCACCTGATGAATACGAAGAGGATGAGAGAGGGTTCCATCCAGCACCCCAGTAGCGTCCTTGCTCCTAGTAAGGCCAGAAGACCCTAGTAGCGTTCATGTTACTAGGAGGCGGGGGAGCGGCCACGTCGGTTTCGCAGACCAAAACCCCCGCCGTTCTTGGAAGCAACTGCCGTGATCTTGTAATATGTTTCACCAATTAACCATGTAGATCCATGTAGGGTATTACTCAATTACTCAATGAGGAGGTTTTCCCAAAAATGAGAAATGTCAGGATTGGACCATGTACAGAAACAGGACGAACACCATCGCTGTCGACCCGTGAAGCGTCCCGTGTCCGACGCGCGAAAGCACCTGAGCTCTGGGGCCACATCCAAGAGATTCAAGAGTAAAGGGGTAGCAAAAACATACCTCAGCTCTGGGCCCAATTAGGGCAGGGCATTCCTTCTTGGTTTGATCATGAAAAAACTACCACCAAACACAAACTCCATCTCTCAAAACCTTCCCAACCTCTTGGCTTTCGCAGAATCACTGGAATCTACAAATGTTGGTCGTTTTTGCATGTTCCACTTGAGCTGTTCTGGGATCCTCAAGCGAGTTTCAGCTGCCGTCGCTCACCCTTGAAGAACCTAATTGTTGGAACAAACGTGGCTGGGCCACGTTATTTAGGGGATACAATCACGCAAATAGAGAAATAGAAAGGAAACGAACGTGACTCGGAGTGGGAAGATAGGACATAATTTTTGTTCAGTGATTAAAAACTAATCAAAACGGATCGGAAAGAAAAAAACTTGGGCAGCAGGGGATGGCAGGGTAGAATTTAAAAAATAAGTTATTTGATCTTATTTGTCTATTTAGGTTCTTTTTTCTCCGTCTCCTCCCCACGCCCCCTGGTAACAGTGGAACGATCAAAGCGCTTACGGCCACCCTGTCTGGCTGGGATCAAGTGGATCTCGCCGCAGAAGTCCGACTTCGACCCCGAGAAGACTGTGTCTGCTGAGCGTTCAGTGGCGGAACATCGGTTGCCCGACCGGGGGAATCAAGCCGGGGCTCCTGGCCTTACTACTAGGAACAAGAAGCTACTAGGAGCTTTTTCGCAGGTGAAAGCCTCACAAGCCCGAACGGCGAATGGGAGAAAAGGTGTTCAGCGACAAATCAGCCCCCCCAAAACAAAGTTCTTGACCTGTTCTCTTAGGTTGGAGGCCATCGCTCTTAGGTTGGAGGCCATCGCTTCTAGGTTGGAGGCCATCGCTCTTAGCTTGCAGGCCATCACTAGGTGGCCATACACGTGACGCATGACGCGGACGTGTTCTCCAAGCTGCACCGCGGTAAGGACTGTGCCCAACACGAGCGCAGTGCTCAACGCGGTTCCCAGGCGCTGGGCCGCCTGACAGCTTGGGTTTGGAAGCGTTTGAAGGATATCTGTGAAGAATCGATGGCAAGAGTTGTCCGAGACATGTCTCTGGATGTTGTTCTTGTGCTTCTCAGGGTCCAAGCCTGTAGGCCTTCTAGGAAAGCACTGGATCCATTCCACCGGAAGCTGTGGGTTGATAGTCTTCGTCAGAAAGGCGAAACTGCAAGAAGGAACGCGTTGTCAACCAAGGCTACCCCACCAAACTTCAATCATCGAATGATGCAGGAAAGGCATGTGTCACCTGAAGAACTTCTATTACCTGCTTTTCTAGGCGTTATGCAAGCTGGTTGTGTTGGCATAGAATCCTGACAAAAGTTGGAAATGCTGCTGAAGGAAGAAGGAGTTCTCCCAATGTGAAATGACTTCTTACGACGTCATGACTCCTCTCAACTCCACATGCACTGTGCCTTTGGGCGGCCCCACGGCAGGGCGCGGGCCACCTGGGAGATCGGTTTGTTCGTTGAGGCAAGGAGCCCCGTTTGTAGCGTCCGATCGCTCCTAGTAGCGATGCCAGGAGCCCCTAGTAGTTGAGTCTGTTTGTCGACAACGAAGGATGTGACCGGTTGCAAACTCCAGACCCGAACGGAAGAGCTGGTGCACACCGGGCGTGCCGCCCCACACTCTTGCCTTGGAAACTAGAGGTTTCTCGAGGACAATGTCTTTTCTTGGCTTCTTGGCTCCCTGGTCTAAACAGTTTCTGAGATCAGCTCACCTGCTCACCTCTAAATGAGTTGAACCTCGCACAAAAAAGAATGCGTGTTCACACATAAAAATGCAACAGTGAAGGTCAGTAGGTTTGGATGGTAAACTGTAAACACGGTCAATTACTTTGGAGCTATGCCTGTTGAAACGCGTCAATTTGGTCACGTTTCCCGCTGCTACACCTGCTTTGATGAAGGAAGTCTTCACTGGATACCCAACAAGCACTTCTTCCACTCCATTTTCCAGGGCAAGCAGCTAAGCCAGTAGTGGCTCGTGGTAAGAAAACAAAAAGATAGAGGATGTAGTCGGACAACCTTGGCACAGCCGTGTGGGTGGCCCAAAGGGTCACAGGGGTCAGACCACCAAACGGCGAACCTTGGCGAACGGCTGATACAGGGGCAAACGACGGTGGCTGACAGGCACTCGTTCGCTCATGACCTCGTGTCTGCTCATTTGTGCACCCTTGAATCCAGAAATGAAGTTGACATCAAGAGCCCAGCCATTCACATTCCTGCTCAGTCAGGCAGGTTATGGATTGCTTTAAGGTTTGCGTTAAGGGACCGTGGTCGTATTCTGCGTGCAACATACCGGGTGGCTCAAAACTGGGTCCGATGGGTCCAAAGGTTTCAAGCTTTGACCACACAGCTTTTCCCTCAGAAATGGTCTGCTAAGAGGGAGGGTTAGATGTTCAACAGCCAAAGGGAAATTCATTTAACAATCCTCGAGACTTCCTCGCCAAGCCGACACCACCTCACCAACCCATCTGCCCTGAACCTTGGCCTACTTTCCCAAGACATCCTAAGACAGCGTCAAGCTGAACCTTGCCACGCAACACGCTTCCGGGGCTCATCGCCGCTAAAGCTTTGGTGCCACTCAAACGGCCAACAAAGGCGTTGTCAATGTTCCTCGGTCGTCGGTGTCGTTGCCGATCTCAGGTCCCCCGGCGGAAGCGGATGGCAACCTCATTTGGCCGATCTCGTTTTTGTGTCGTGATGTTGGTCCCATGACGCCACCTCATTTGGGCGATCAAAAAGGAAAAGATGCAAAATCGATTTGATGACCGGAAAGCTTTATTGTTACTAGTAGCGATGGCCTCCCCCTAGTAGCGATGGCCTCCAACCAAATAGCGATGTCCTCCACCTAGAAGCTTCTAGAGTCTTTGCAACGCTTCTTGATTCTTCTTCTACATCTCTCACTGAGAAGGGTTTGGAAGGCAAGCATGTTTGAGGGGTACGGAGCCACTCCTGTTGTAATTGCAGACTTCCTGACCATCGAACAAGACTTCGGCCAACATTCAAACTTGTCACCCCTGGGATTCCAACAGAGAAAGACCCTCTGGAAGAGGATGTTCCAAATTTGCAGTTTGGGGCACTGAGGAAACACACTAGAAGCTTTCTAGTAACCAGAAGCTTCCTTGGGAATCGTTTCACCTGTAGTTATGTCATCAATCCAAGCACGATCCAGGTGGGGCCCTCCCTCGATCCCTCCATTGGTTGGACCCGATCCATTCACGGCGAAGCACGTCATAAACGGTGACGCAATTGAAATGCCCAGGGCCGGAATGGCAAACTTCAGCATCTCCTGCCACCCAGGCGGACAAGAGGACGCTACGAACAGAGCAAAGGGCATCGCTACTAGGGGCTCCTGGCATCGCTACTAGGAGCGATCGGACGCTACTAGGAGCAAACACTGAGATGATCTGCTGAGTTTGGTATGTTCCTCTTTCCACAATGGGATCCCAATAGGACCCGGATCCTCCAATCGTTCATTGGTCAAGCTGTATTGCTGTGGATCCAATCCCACAAGCATGCGCAGATTGGTGTCCTGTGAAAATCTTTTGCTCATGAATGCTTGGACAGTGTTTTTCTCTTCAACCTTCGGATCAGAATGGATCAGATGGGAGGATCGAAAAACGGTTTCAGACTGTCCGCCGGGTTGATTTCTTCCAAGCTCGGCGGTCGGATTCTTTCCGCGCTCCCACAAAGGTCAACCTAAAAGAGGACATCAAAGGAAATCTTTGAAGCAGGGTTGTATGCAGCAGAGTATTACAACGATGGAAGGCACGAACAAAGACAGGGCATCACTTCGTGAGTTCTTCCCATGGAACAACGGCATCCCGTGGCTCTTCTTTCCAGATCTTTAAGTCACCACACCATGCTTCTTGCTCCTAGGAGTACGGCCAGGAGCCCCGAACGTAAGTAGCGTCCTCTTGTTCCTAGTCACCACACCATGCAGCACCGGCACCGCCCCTCGGCATCGGCCTTCTTTGAGAACTCTGCATCGGCTCGACGCAGCACACGTGGACGTGGCGGGCGAGGAGGGCTCGGAGCCAAGAACCTGCAAAGCCAATCAAAGAGACAACGGCAGCCCAACCTACTAGCAACCCTAGCGATGGCCTCATCCAAGGAGAAAAGGCATTTCATCCAAGTGCAAGCGTGCATGATGAACCCTGTGCAGTAGGAAAGCTAGAGGAACTCTGACTCTTTGTTAGACAGCTGGTGGGATACCTCGCATGGTAGCACAGGCAGGCTGCAGTCACAGGCCTAAAACGAAAAACCACAGACTGCCCTTGTATGAGATAGAGCGTGGGACAGGAAAGAGAGAGAGAGAGAGCTATACATATATATATATATATATAGCATTCCCGACCTGCCAATCAAAGAGCCCAACCTACTAGCGATCGCCTTCAGCCTAGTAGCGATGGCCTTCCCGCCCCCACCTGCCTCACGCAGGGCTTCCCACCAGCGAGTCCGGTTGCATACATGGCGGTCGGCGCAGTCGTCTCGTAGCGCGGCTTCGGTTGGGCCCTCGCCAAGTCGTCCCTGTTGGACGCACCCAGTTCCCACCGTTCGGCGGGAACGTGAACGAGGGGCGGATCCGAAGCAATCCCGTTCGGACGTCCGGTCTGGGACACGTCTGGTTAATGTGAAGGAGCTAACAAAACACGTCTGTGGCTCATGTCTGCTCGTCATACGAATGTGTGGTGTGTGTTCGATGTTCACCGAGTTATTCCGGAATGTTTCAACAGCCCTTTTGGGACACGAACTTCCTTGGATCGAATCACGGGACGGTGCCTTGAAAACTGGCTGGCGGAAGTGGCGTGTTTGAAGCGGCGAAAGCAACGTTGCCTCGCTCCAGCACGGTGCTTTTCCCAAGGAGTCATGGAAGCCTTGGAATGCACCAGTTGTTTCAATTGGTGGGAGCTGAATCAGATCATGGCTTTGCATCTATGGAATGGTGCGGAATATAAATAAGAAGGAGAAACCAACAAAAAAATCGAAAGCAACTACGGTACCACCTATTCCAAGACAAGAAAGTTGCTAGGCCCTAGGCCATGAGCTAGCTTGAAAATTTCAATCCTCGAGCGCAAACCAAACACACCGCCCTAAATTATTGCTATCCAGCAAACAAAACCTCAACGATGACTTTTCAGGACGGTGAGCGTTGGATTTGCCCAAGAATACAACGATCAGTAACTTCCAATGGCAATGACCCTTCCAACAAAAAACCTCTTGAGTTCGTAGATCGCCACCCAGCTGACAAGTGGTTTCAAACCAAGAGATACCAGTCCTGCTCTGCACAGTGTCTATGCACGATCCATGGGATAGGCATAGGTCACTCCAACCAGGATGAGTCATCATGCGTATCTAAACTAATCTATTTGGGACTCATGGTATGGATGGGTATGAGGAAAAATCTGAACTATAGTTGTTCTGCGCAAGGATATTGGTGTTTCAGTGAGCTCCCATTTAGTTTTAGTCCACTGCCAATCCATAGGCAGTACTTTCTTCCCTGAACATGCCGGATAGACAAGGCGACAGGCTGACAGGCGCAAGTGGTTTCCAAACAAGGCAACAATCGAAGAAGGACACCGAGGACACGGAGGTAGTGTCGCCCAGAAGTTACGCTTGGTGCTCCATGGTGATCCTAATTTAATCCCACTGAGCTTGGTATACGCCTTGATGACCAAAGGCTGAATGATCAACTTGGTTGCACTCATGAACGAAGGCTTGAGAAAAAAGAATCTCGCAGTGACTCGGTGACTATAGGTGTTTTTGATTGCGAACTTTGAAGCAGGGGCATCCCTGACTAGGATCCACCTGTTTGCTCCAAACAGAGCAGAAAACCCGAAGGATGGAGCCACAGGAGGCAACTGCAACTGCAACTGCCCGTCGACGTGAACCAGGCTGGTTCCACCTCCACCAACACAGTCACTGAACTCCAACCTGAGTAGAGACGGTCTCCGTAACGAACGGAGTCGACAACCGAGTGGTTCACCTTCCTTTGATACAAAGACTTGTTGGATAGACGGGACGTGGCTTAGATGTGCACTTTCTTCTGAAGGGGAAATGCGTGGTACCAAAGCACTCTCCTTTGATCATCCCACATGCCCGTGCTTGAGAAACCATGCCCTACAGAATACTCCACCGAGATGAAAGCAGTCGAAATGCAGCACCTAGTAGCTTCTCGCTCCTAGTAGCATCCTTGCTCCTAGTAGCGATGCCAAGAGCCCCTAGTAGTCTAGTAGCGTCCATCTGGGGATGCTTCAGGTCAGAAAATCAGAAACCACGAGAAAACGTTCGGAGGAAAGTGCAAACTGCGGCACCTGGTCAGTCGATTCCGCTGTGCGAGCTAATCGATCCCCGCGGAGTCCATCGAATTCCCCGATGTTCAAGTGGCTATTAGGTTGGAGGCCATCGCCTATTAGGTTGGAGGCCATTGCTATTAGGCGCTGTGGCTGTGCGTTCTGAGCTTCAGGCCCTCCTCAATCAAACAGCTGGTGGGGTTGTAGAGGACACCTCGTGAGGTGCAGAAGTCGTGCTGAAGGAAGGAAGGATTGCGGCACCTAAAGAGGACTCAAATAGACTCAAGCGCTTAGTACTACTTAGTATGACTCCGGCACTGAAAGAGAGAAGTTGCTTCTTTCATTACTTCCTCAAATCTGGCATCGGAAACATCCTGAAGCAGATCCTCAAATGGTAGCCCTGGTAGCCCATATGATGAGTGGAAATGGTTTGAGTGGAGATGGAGTGGAACCTTTTTCCCCATCTGATTCTCCATTCATTCAAATCTATCAGGTCTTTGGAAATCGGAAACCGATGGCTAAAGGCTTAAGGCCTGGCAAATTCCCATGCGGGCACGTGATCCAATGGGTGTCCGTCATCACCTCAACCCTCAGAATCCATCTATACCAAATACATCCATGTATACCAAAGGTTGTTTTATCTCTGCAGGCTTCATTTGTGGTTTTCTGGCTGTGTTTCGCAAGGATTGGCACATACTGCGTACTACGTCCTCCATTTTCACACGCTCAGTTGGCTTTGGGCAAGTGACTCGGCTTGCAGATTCGGTCGGTGCCCAGGTTTCCGGGGCGGAGTGACCAGTTTCGATTGAATGACCGGGAGATACCAGGAGACTGGAGGAAATGACCCAACTTATGTTCCTTGCCGATCCAATTCACACCCTGAAGGATTGAAATCAGCGTTCAAATGCTTCGCAAATTCGCACAACTTGCTCGTTCGTGTCTGTGAGCCCTTGATCGTTGCCCAGGCACCATGGGCACTGGCGCAGGGAGGACTGCCTCAAAAGGTGGCGCTTTCGAAGCCATGAGTCACTGGGCCTTGGACAACCACACGGTATTGATGGACCAATCTTTCACTAGCCTCAAGAAACACTATGGGCTCCCGCAAGAATCCAGTGTATCCACCATGCCAATCGTGTATCTCAGGTGCGTCAGTGTCGAACTGAACCGCGCGGCGGAGAGCTTGGCCCTTGGGGGCAGCGATTCGTGCAGAACCGCCCAGATGAGCATGGAGAAATGGTGTCCGTCTCACAGACCCCGCAAAAACT